TTGTTTTGTTGACAGCTACATGACCTTGGTCAAGTCATGATAAAATGTATCTGATGATATTGGCTTACATTTTAGTTTTTATTTCATTGATAATACAATTTCACTTAACATTGTGCTGTTTGAAAAAAAGACCGTCACTTCTTTGTGTCCTCTGATGTGGGACAGATGTAGTTCTAAGATATTGCAGAATAGATAAGTGATATGGAATAGAAGCTAGGAGATTCTTTTAAGTTTTAATTAGTAAGTCTTTCCTCCCCACTTCAGTGATTTAACATAATTCTAAGTTAAACGCAGTGAAAATCACCACCCTAGGCACTCAAGAACAAACCCTTTATTTCAATTCTATTATTTAAATCCATGAATGTGATATGTTACTTTTCAAGAGGATGAAAGATGATTTTATATGATTCATTAGGTATCCATATGTCATTATACAATCTTGTTAACAAAGTAGCAAGCAGCCAGGATGAGTCTCAATTATTTAGAAACCAAAATGGAAATGTGTAATCAGAATAATATTCATAGTGATCACATATTAATTAAAGTATGTTTATCTTAGACATATATTTCATTCCTTTTTAGTATAATAGTCATCAGTACTATAAACACTGCCCTGTGTAGTAAGTTCCAAAGTATTTACAATTTTGAACATTTAGCAGGATCAGAAGGTGTTTCCCTGTAAATTTTTCTATGGTTTTATCACACAGGGTTTTATCTCAGATCATCCTTTAATATTAGGCACTTGTAAAATTAAGATCAAAGTGTACGGTCATTATTCAACTTTACTTTCAATGTGTTGCAAAGATTTTCACTTCTTTTTTAGTATAAATGGATAAACACAATATAAGTTATTTCATTATTTTAGCTATTTGCAGCATATCTTATTGTATTTGAAGAAATTTATTAATAGACTATTTTTAACACTTTCAAAGTAGGTTGAATACATTTTATTCCAATATGCTGAAACTTAAATTTTAGAAAGAATATACATGCTCAAATTACATATTTGGAACTATTTTAATGACAGCCAAACCTTATGCATTACCTCTTTGATGGAATTTACATGAGTGAGAAGAAAAATTATCAACCAGACAATATGAAAGTGTATAAAATAATTTCTACAATATGAATAAATACATAGTTTTAGTAGTTCTGGGGAGAAAACTAAAGCAGTAGTATCTTTTTAAGATCTCCCTAACCTCTCTGCCTAGCTGAGATTTTTGAAGTAAAGGTGATTTATGGTAAAATAAATACGAGGAAGCCAAGAATTTTCACTCACTGTACAATCCTGCATTACTAAATAAATCAGCATCCTTTATTCTTCAGTGGCTAACAAAATGCCATTTTCATTTACCTCGTACATGGAGTACACTATTCTCTTCCAAGGTCATTCTTAGTATCATGATGCAGATGCATTGTTAGAGGGCGGTATAAGGTTACTAAGTGAGAAATCCAAAGCACAATGTAAACAAGAGTTCTATTTATTTTACACTACACAAGATTAGCCAGGAATTCTTTCTACATCTGGAAATTTAATATTCTAATGTATTACCCTACTATTTCTAAATCAACCTCATTTAAGCTGAATACTTTCTGTTTCAGTAAGCCTACCTCCTGAGACCCCCACTGGAAATGCTTTACTAACTAGACAGGGCTATCCCTGGCATCTTATTATTATCATTGTTATGACTCACTCAGAAGGTTGTGGGAAAAGAGGTGTGGGTAGAGATGACAACGGTTTGAGAACTGAGTTCCAGATCCCTCATATATTTGGAATTTGGGATGATGAGGAGAAGCCCATTAAATCTGTATTTGAAGAGTCAAAATCATACATTTTTTTTAATGTCTTGTATTTGAATCAAGTTGTGATCAAATTTGTTTTGTCTGAAATTATTACTGTGAACTACCTTATTAAATTGAATTTGATCATGTATTTATTTTTTAAGGAGCATTATTGCAATTTAAATCTTAATATCACATAAGAATTGAAAGCAATGCTAACACGAATTTTTTTTTTTTTTTGGCTGGGGCTGGGTTTGAACCCACCACCTCTGGTACATGGGCCAGTGCCCTACCCTTTTGAGTCACAGGTACCGCCCTGTTAACACAAATTTTTAAAATTACACATGGAATAGTTTTGCGACAAGCTTGTCTTTAATTATACTCTGGCTTGTCTTTCAACATCTGAAATTATCAGGATTTAGAGACATTGGAATAGTCAATGGTTGAAGAGGTACTGATTTTAGTAATAATAGATCCATGCTGCATAGGCAAAAGAAGAGAACTTGTTCTTTCCACTGGTGTTTCTTCATCAGTTAGGTAATGTAAAGGGATGATAAGTGTCAGGTGGAAGGGTGGAATAGAGGCTGGAAACCATTCCACTCCTGCAATTCCAGATTACTAGTAAAACATCTATTTCTACGTAAATGAGTCACACAGATACAGGATGGCCGTAAAGTTCACGTGCAATTATTTTTTAAATACCACACAAACTTTATGGCCACCCCGTACAAGAAAAAGGTAGAAAATTTTCCATAATATTGGAATATTTAGACAATTCTACTAAAAAATATTTTGAATTTCTTAACAGGGAAAACTAATTAACAGAGATGGCTTCTTTCTAAAGAAACATGTTAGTTAACATTTATAACAATCTACAGGTAGGGTTAAAATGGAGATTGTTTAAAAAGCTAAATAATTCCTAAATAGACTGAACTGGTGGTGAAAACACAATAACATCTTAAATGTCCATAAAATTTAGGTGGCAAACTTTGCATATGGGAGTAAACAGACCTCTCTGTTGCCTGAGATGAATATGATCGGGAACAGAAAATCAACTCATGTAATAATTAGCAAAATATTGATCACCCTTGAACATTTGCATAAATACAGCAGAATCATAAAATTTATAAGACACAATATTAGTATTATTCTATAATTCTACATAGCCATATATGTATATACTATATCTATGACCTATACTTGGCTACTTTTCTTGCCCTGCTTATTTCAGTGTGCTATCCACAGTAGTTTCCCAACCACTTATTAAAAATTGAAAAGCAACAGCTATAAACTCTTAGAAACATAATAGGCTTCCCACTTATAGCAGAGGTGGACTTTCTTTAATGTTTGCCTGGAGTTGTTGAAAACCATCTGTACCCTAAATCTCCCAATTCTGATGGGTCTTTGCTTGCTGTCCATTTCAGCAATAATTGAAACCAAGGTTTTCAAGTAAAAAATTCATTCTTGCCAGCTTGACAAGTATAGTTTTGTGGAAAAACTATTAGTAGTTGAATGTCCTTCACTGCCTCTATTTCTCTTATGAAACAAACCAAAAAGAGTTATCTATTAATATATAACCAGTTCTTGAGCTCACAGATAACCTCGAAAACTGAAAAATCCCTATTACAGCATCAATTACACATACACACTTCACAGATGAAGTTTCAAATTACGTTTTTTTCTTGCTGAAGGAATTATTAATGCTTTTACATCGTGCTTATATGTAAATGGCAATGAAACTGTAATGCATATATCTAGATAGCATGAAAATTAGAGATTATTAAATATTTCCCTAATAAATAAGTACAATAATATCTAAGTTCCCAAGTGCAGTAAAAGACATTTTAGTTTGTAGTAAAAAAATGTTTTTTCTGGTTAAAATCCTTTCTCTTTCTTTTTCTTTTTTGTCTAAACAACTGAAGAAAGAAAAAAGGGAGAAACCAATCTGATAAGACATATTAATATCGATAACCCCAAGGCATATCCTGATCTCATTCTATGAGAGTAGAATATTTTGAATTTGCACTGGGCACATTACAGGCCTTTCCATTGCTGCTAGAGTATACTAAGTCCTGTCTATTTGCCTTTCGTGTTAAGTAAAATTTATTACTATGTCTAACAGGAAGACATATTTATGTTAACTGTCTTTTAAATTTTTACCTCCTTGGGCTTCCATTTTTTTAATCACTGGATTTGGCTTGCAAAACTAGGTGTTAGAGGCAATGAAGAATTGATTCTTGAATCCTTTGTAGTGTTCTTAATTCACTTCAAGAGAACTGAAAGTAAATGAATTTTTCTCCCACCAAAGGACACATGGACATATTTAACGGGTCCAAAGCAGCCCTGAGTGATTTATAGGGAGGCTGTCAGACCAACCTCTGAGTGCAGCTGCACATATGCAGAAGATTGCTTCAGCCTTGCCTGTCGTATAATCAGAGCTAAACGAATAGTTGAAAGTCAGCTACTCTGGGTACATTAACTTTCCACATTCTTTCTCAGTTAATCACGTTGGCTGTCTTGCTCATGTGAACAAATGCACACACATAACCATGGAGGGTAGAAAACCTCTACCTCCGAGGATCTTGTGTGTGAGACCAAGAAAGAAAATCCATCTGGTGATTTTTTTCGTGTGTGTGTTATTTGGATGGTCTGCTTTTCTGTGGTAGTGACCAATCCGGGAATACCATACATGGTTTTAAATCCATACAAATCAAAATAAAGTTTATGTTTTGCGAGATTGTTTGGAAAAGCTAATTCAAAAGCTTCAAGCCCAATTAGTTCTCACCACCATTAACCATGTATTTATCAATTCTTTACAAACTGACAAAACAGTAAATTAAAAATGCTCACATAAAGACACGATAATATCACTAAAATCTCACAGTTTGATCATTTAGTAGCACTTACCCATCCTGATTTCACATTTATTTCTCAGTTTCCAGTAATATCCAGTACACCCTAAGAATTATCCCTCTCTAATATCTTTGTAACTCTCAGAACAGGTGATCATGTGCCAGTTTTGCACAGAAAAGTATCTTTCTATGTAAAATCATTACTTAAATGAAATGTGCCCTAAGAACATGTCCCAAATAACTAAACATAGATTAATTTTCTTTTCCAAGTCCTCTTGCTTGCTTCTGAATTCATTGTTATTTCTTTATATTCAGAATAATAATTAGCCTTCACAATTAATTCTTTAAAAGTGGTATTAGAATCATTCACTTACAGTCTGTGATTCTTAGCGTCCTCTTGACTTCTCCACTTCCTGATCCCCCACAACCGTCCTCATCATCGCAGTCCCCACTGACTTGTTCAGCCATGCCCCCTCCACTGCCCAGCTGAAGAAGTTCCCACTTGGCAGGTTTGGGTGACCTACCCTGTAACAGCTAAATGCAGATAAAAAAAAGGCATCAATTAATAGAAAATTCAAATAATCAAAGAACTCTGTTCAGATCCATTATTTTAATACCGATACCTTACCAAATTCAGTCTTCAGGAAAAATAAGGACAAGTGAAATAACAATAAACCATAAGCAAAGTCTGACAAACAAAGAGCTACAATCTGCAAATCACTTCTGGGATAATACTTTAGATAATGCTTTGGGAAACACTGGGAAAATAATATTGGCCTTCTTTGCTTATAGGTAGTTTGGCCAGAATAAATAGTGTTTAAGTATAATAAATCACCCTCTGATACAACACAACTCCCATTGTTCTATACTGGCCATAATAATTTGCTGGTTTGTAAATCGACAGTTCAAAATTTGTCAAAAATATGTCTGCTTTTCTATACAGGAATCTAAAATTCTGAACATGCAACTTAACTTAGACTTTCTTCAATGAAATACATGGTTCAATACATATGGTACAGAACTGAACCATGGGACAAAAGACTCAGGTCCAACTTTCATTTCTACAAATTATTTAAGAAACTTAACAACTGAGTTCTTTATTCTCAAGTATTTCATTTTCTTTTATGAGTAAAATGGGTGGAAAAGCCATTTTCCCTACAGCACGGAATGCTTATAAGGCTTTTGAATAGTATTGGAAATGTCTGAATTCTTTTCAAAATGATGTTATTACAAATAATAGAATATTTCACTGAAAGCTAAGACTGAATGAAATAATCTAAAACAATGTGTGACATTTACCCCTCCAAGGTAATTTGGGGAACACAGGACCAAGTGTGAGTACTAGACAGTATCCCTATATTACGAATGCAAAGTCCTTCCTATGCTCACTTAATGAATATTTAAATTCTAATGGTGCTTTAGAAAAGATTTAGGGTTGTTCCTTTAGTAACTTTTCAAATTATAGTACCAATTAGCAGACCATAATTAAATATACAATTCAAGGACAGCATTACATACTGAAGAACATGTTCTAGAATAGCCTCAATACATCAAAGACAAATATTTTTATCATTGAGGGAACACTTAGATTAAGCAAGTAGACTTTGAAATTCATAAATTTTCAAAAATAAATAATTATAGGTCAAAAAATCTAAAATATTATTTTCCTTGCCAAAAAAGAGATGTTAGAACTTGACAATAATTTTTAAATTCTTAATTTTGTTAATCAGTGTTTTACAAAAAAATAATTGTAAACATAGGGTGTCAAAATAAAAAAAGGCTCCTTTCAAGGTTAAGTGAATTTTGAAAATATGTTAAACACGCAGCTTTCTTTCCGTTACTGGGTTTAATATGCTGAGGTGTGTGTTACTTGCTGGAAAGGGAGGGCATTGCAATGAAGAAATGGATATGAAACAAATCACATAAAAAGTCAAATCTGAAAAGGAAATCAAGGATAAATGGGACCATTTCATACTATTATATGAATGGTAAATAATGAAAAATGGTAAAGGAGATAATACTATTTGTTAGTTACCATTGTAAAATAATCCCATTTATCATTTGTTCAGTATCATCATAAAGGGCTTCAAGTCAGAGGTCCAACATGCTTAGATGTGAATCCTGATTCTGACGTATACTAACCATGAAATACGGGGTACTGGGTAAGTTACCAAATAATTCAGTTCCCTCATATCTAAAATGGGGACAATATTATAGCTGGACAATTGTTCATTGAGTAAAAAAAATACAAAAAGAACTTTGCAAATATTTAATATGACAACACATTAAAAATTAATACATTTTGATTATTTTCTAATTTATTATATATTCTATTACAATATTATTTAAACACCAAGAACAGCAAGAATTGAAAGAATCATTTGATAGAGAATCCGTTTACATGATTTACATTACAATTTTTCAAATTATTATCTGACAAGTACAACAAAAGACAAACTCTCTGGTGATATGTTGCTCCCTTTTGACCCTAACTTTCTTTCCCAACATTTTCCCATATCAACTTTATTTACTCTCTGTTTCTCTAAGAATTCTTCCAATATTTTACTGGGATGCTGGCCAGAACACAGATGGAAAATCATGAGCAATCTGACAATGTGTAAATCACCAGGACCCAACCCAATGAATTAGAACTCAAATAGACAAACAGAAAGATTGTTTAAAAAAAACAAACAAACCTTAAAATCCTAAGAAATTGATTTTGGTTGAAAGCAATTGAATATGTTCCCATAGAATTATTCATTTGTGGTGACTTGCAATAATAATATAGGACATGTCTTTTTAAAATAATTACATTTTGTATACTTCATCATTATGGTGACATTCTAAGAAATATCTAAGGCACATGGACTCAAATTTCTAAATACTAGAACTACACAAAACTATATTTTAATTTAAATTGTGGTGAGCATAATGGGAAAATGGACCCTAAGACTTCCCACTCTAATCTCTGGGACTGTGAAAATGGCACCTGTCACACTCTACACCCACTAACTTATATAGTAAAATGAATTTTGCTTTGTAACTAGTATCAGTCATCTGTTGATCTTGAGTTCACTAAAACATCATCACATGAGTTCTTAAGGAGCAGAATGTTTTCGGCTATTACCAGAATTCAGAATAATTCAAAGCATGGGAAGTTGGATGGGGGATTGGATGGAGGGGGCAATTGTGCGGGCCTTGAGGGTGTGAGTGTAGATGTTGTGAGAGGTCCTATCACTCTGCTGCTTGTTCTCTCATCAACCTAGATAAGCCTGGAAGTCGATTTGTTCTCAGAGCCCCCATATTGAGGCAAACTTAGCTGACAACTTGATTTCAGCCTTGTGAGACCCCAAGCAGTGACCCCACCCAGACTTCCAGTTATAGGACTAGTAAGAGAAGCTAATAAATTGATGCCGTTGTGAGCTGCTAAATGTGTGACGACTTGTTAGGCAGCAATAGAAAACGAGTAAATATACTGTCTAACCCCAGATGGGGCCCGAATAAATATACTGTCTAACCCAAGATGGGGCCCTATTTACTTCTTGGCCATTTTGTTTGATGTCTTTTTATCTTCTAGCCTATTTCTCAGAACAGGAGGTCAAAATTCCCATAAGACATCACTTACTAAGAAGATGGTACCCTTCAAAACAAGCTATCAGATTTTACCCTTTCATTTCCTTTCAGTTTCTCAGCCTCTACATTTCTCTCTGCTTTCCAAGTCTCTGAGCAAAAGACATAATTACTGTTTCCTATGATCAATGGATCCAAATACATTCTGGATCCCATTTGATCTATGATTGCCAGTCCCCAAAAATCTCTTCTCGTTTTGGTTGGTATCACTATTTCTCTCCCCTCTGCAGGGACAATCTGCCTTATACATAGTAATTTTTATTTCCTTACTTCTTAGTTACATCACAAGTCCACAAATGTTCATTTCTCACTCTTAATACAACTTAATTTGCAATAATTGCCAGTGAATTTCTATTGATAATCAGCAGAAACAATGGGCTTTTCACAATAGATCTTTATTCCAATTCTCCCTTTTGTTGGACGAAACTACTCTGGCGTCCTCTTAGTTTTCTCATCTTTCTCTTCACTGACCCACTCCACCAAAAATAAAAGTAAGTGTTCTTTTTAGTCTCTTTCTGGGAACTCCTCCAAACAGATTGAACTCTCACCTTTTATACAAATTACACTCAAATCTTCATTGCAGCCCTTGTTGTACTCTTTGGTTCATCTCTAAGCAGCAAATGAAAGTAAAGATGACCTCTATCGCCTTTTATCTTAAAATAGTAGAACGATTCTTCTCTGCTATTCATGTATCATAACAAGTTATCTACATGCATCATTACAAGAGACTCATGGGATAACGGGTCTCTCCTACCCACCACACCATATTATTGTCCCCAAATCAGTGCTTTCAACATGGTCATCTATCAGCTTTAATGCTATTTATGACTTTTTACTGTCAAAAGCATTGGTTACTAACATGTGTCTAAAGTAGAAAATTCCACAAATAATGGGTCCCACAAAGGGTAGTATGATGTAGTGATGTGTTTGGGAAATGCATGCCATAGCTCCTCTCAATTCCCCCGAACTAAAGGTTAACGAGAAATTTTCCAGGGAGATTTCTTATCTACTTGAGCTGCATCTCCCATTTTCCAAATGTACATGAGCAAATTATCCCTCTTCCCTCACTCAACACCCACTGACATACTTTTAGAAGTAGGGTCTAGAAAGAAAAGTTTAAATTTTGCCTGGTATTCCTGGTGTCATAATATGTTGTTTTGTTTTTAAATTATGTCCAAATACAAATCTTCAGCACCCAATTTCTGCCACAGAGCCATCGATCTATTCTTCTCACAGAAATTGTGTAACTTTATATGTCTGTAATTTTCTCCACACATGTTTTATATTCTACTCACTTCCAACTCTTGTTCTCCCACAGAGAATATACCCTTTTCTCTTTTCCAACTCATTGTATTATATCTGATTTTCAAGTTCCCACTCAAATATCTCTTTTTCTATTGATACAGATTTGTGTGATCTTTTTAACTCTGTAGCATTCACTGGCCCTTAATCAACTTTCTTGAACACATGTCCCATCTTTCTGATTAATGGTAAGATTTTCAAAGTGAAGAGCAGCATTTAATCTGCTTTATACCATCTCCCCATCATGACTAGAGTACTTAGCATGTTGTAGATGTTAAATATATATATACACGCATTCTTTTTTAGGGACAGGATCTTGCTTTGTCACTCAGGCTAGACTACAGTGAGCGGTTCTAGTTCATTATCAGCCCAAACTCCAGGGCTCTGGTACTCCGTCTTCCTCAGTCTCCCAAGTGACTGGGACTATATATATACATCATCATGCCTGGCTAATTAAAAATTTTTTTTAGAGGTTGGGGTTCTCACTATGTAGCCTGGGCTGTTCTTGAACTGTTTCAAATGATCCTCCCACTTGGGCCTCCCAAAGTGCTGAGATTACAGCTATGAGCCACTGCGCCAGGCCTAAATACATATATTTTGGT